CTCAACACAGGAAAACATTTGATCTTATTTGTGTAATTTAAGAAAATTTGATATATATATATATATATATATATATATATATATATATATATATATATATATATATATATATATATATATATATATATATATATATATATTCTTTTGACATGGACATCTTTCATACTTGTTCTAAATGAATGTTATAGCGCATTTGGTTCGTGTGACAAAAATTACTTTCCTCAACTACCCAGCTTAGTCTATCCAGTTCCCCTCCCTCTATCCCACCCTTTCTCCCCCCTCCCCCTCACACACACACACACACACACACACACACACACACACACACACACACACACACACACACACACACACACACACACACTAGGAACCCCTCAGAAAACATCACAAGAGCGAGAGAAGCGCGGCAAGAATGAATACCATCAAGCTTAACTGGTTTATATAATCCGGGGAGGAAGGGGGGGGCGGGGGGGAGGGCAAAGGAATCTCGGCATGAGGGGGGTGGGGTGGGGGGGGAGAATGAATGAACATAACAAATGAGTCTTTGCTGGCGAAACCCAAGTCGCCGCCGCCGTTGCGTCAGCGCAGCGAAATCGGACACTGCCTTTGTAACCCCAGTCCGAGGGTGTGTTTTAAGGCCAGCAGAGCTCCGGCCACAGTGGTGGCGGTCCTGTGTCTGATGACCTTTTAATCTCTGCTTGCTGCTGCTGCTGCTCTTGCGACATTGATGAATATGTCGCTTTTCTACCCCGCTGTTTCCAATTTTTATTCTTCCACCCCTCTCTTCTCTTTCCTTCCTCCTTTTCTCTCCTCCTTTTCCCCCCTCTACTCTCTTCTCTCTTTCCCCCATCTTCCTCTTTCTCCCCTTCCCTCCATGCTTCCCTTTCCCTCTTTCTCTTCCAACTCCTCTCTCTCTCTCTCTCTATCCCCTCCCCCTCTCCCTCCAGATGGAGCGTAGATCAGCTTTCACTTTTTCAAGAAGGGAGCGTAAAGAAATCCGTGTTCTCTAGGCTGCCGGACATTATATTAGTTGGTATTAGTTTCCTCTCAAGCCACCTGCTGCGTGGGTGCAGGGTGGGTGTAGGGTGGGCGTGGGTGTAGGGTGGGTGTAGGGTGGGCGTGGGTGTAGGGTGGGCGTGGGTGTAGTGTGGGCGTGAATGTAGTAGGGTTGGCGTGGGTAGAGCACAAGCTACCAGTCACTGCTGCAGATAGCCTAACCAATAAGTGAACAAGTGGAAGGAGACACATTTTATTGGAAGATAGGAGGGCGGGGAGAAGGAGGAGCCTAATCACTTTGAATCATTGGGGATTCGAACGTGGACCCTGCAAGACCAGGTCCATGTTCGGCTGGTCGTCGCAATACCGACCAACCGACCAAATAATAAGAGGCGGGACGCAGGAGATGAGGATCAACTCTCCGGTATTCACATCCTTGTTGATAATGCAGACTTAGATAGCACCATTCGCGTGCGGGTTCCCTGCCTGTGTGTAAGAATGTGTACTCACCTAGGCTTTGCGAGGGTTGAGCTCTGGCTCTTTGGTCCCGCCTCCTGTCAATCAACTGGTGTACAGGTTCCTGAACCTACTGAGCTCTTATCTTATCTACATTTGAAACTGTGTATGGAGTCAGCCTCCACCACATCACTGCCGTGCGCGTGTGATCGTGCTCATAAAAGCGTGACTTTGGCAAATTACGTTTATCTGCTCCAAGGTAACATGTAGAAGGGAAAGGGGAGTTGCAGGAAGTTTGCGACAGTATTTAGGCAACTGAATCACAAAGGTGGGTAACCCCCAAGCGATTAGTTCGTTGGTCTGCTGCGTGTTACTTCGCCACAGTTGGTACCATTGTCTTGAGTGCTACAGTAAATCTACAGACAAAGCCTATTATTGTTTTGTAGTTATGGCCAATTGAATGAAGCTTTGTTCACATATCTGCTGATGAGAACAGTTGAAAACAATGAAATAGTTGGTGAAATTTGTTCGTGCCTTTTGGTTTTTCTCCCGATCCTAAAGATACATTTAGAGCCCCTGTGGGACAGTAAACATCATACCATAACTTGCTCCTGTGACGCGGTGACTGGCTGACGACGGCGGCAGTCGATGCGAGGAGACCAAAATAAGGGGCCACCACGGGCACTACCAGGGGCCACCACGGGCATTACCAGGGGCCACTAGGAGCACTACAAGGGACCACCACGTAACACTTGTCATAGAGGAGTCACTTACAGTGGCGGGCTTTATTCAGTTATTTTTCATCGTAAACGTTTTTGATTGTACTGAAACTAAAAGTCGTTTGGCTACGTTCACCAGGTCTTAATGGCGTAAAGTACATGCGTTCACCCTGATTGCCTCCCTCGTGTTAACTGCTTTTTGCTTGCTACGAGACAAAATAATTTTTGTATCGGCTGGGCCGCTCCAAGCAACAGCCTGGTGGACCAAACTCTCACAAGTCAAGCCTGGCCTCGGGCCGGGCTTGGGCAGTAGAAGAACTCCCAGAACCCCATTTAAGCAGGACCGAGTGGCTAAAAATGTTTCTCATCGTTGACGTCGCCTTCCCGCCTTTGGCGTTGCTGTGTCACGTCTCGACCGGGTGGTGGTTGGTGTTGCAGTATATGTTGATATTAGGCTAGTGATTAATGTGTTGATGCTGGCCGTGGTGGCGCTGGCAGTTGTGTCGGATGAGGCTACAGGACACTGATGAGTGGTGGTTGTTGCTCATGGCTACATCTTAAGTCAATTTTACTAGTGGCAGGAATTAATTTCCCCGGAGACGTTGATCCGCAAGATTCTACAGAAGTTAACCAGAGATATAAAATAGGACATCAGTGGCATACAACCTTGGTAGTAACAACGAAGCTTCCTTGTACTCAATTACTTGTACTCAATTTACCTGCTGTTTATGGAGAGGAACAATGGTAAGGCAGATGAGAGCGCAGTTTAAACTGCTGGCAGAGTTTAACCACACTTAATACCTGACCAGTAAAAGGATCCAGTTCAGCCCAGGACGCCCCCCCCCCCTTATCCCCCGGTTCCAAATTGAGACAGTGAATCATTGCCGCCATAAGCCAAAACATCCCTGACCAAACAAAGCTTGCGGGGCTTGCCGCTGTGAGGGCAGCACAGCTAACCCTGGAAGACGCACCAAAATAAGACAGCCAGTTTACAGGTGGGGGCGGGGGGGGGGGGGGGAGGGCCGCTGACTGAAACAGCCTTACCTTCTCCGTGCCTTTGACACGACCATTGATACTATTTGATCGCGGGGGGGGGGGGGGTAGAAAGAGCCTAAGCTACTCTTCCTTTTGAAATGCATTTCCTTCTTGTCTCAATAAACATACTTGATACCATTTGATTTCACCTCGATTGTATTGCACGTTTACGATTGGGGTGAACCCTGAGCAAGATTGCAGCCATATGACCGATTCAGTGGTTTATTATGAAGTTATACTGGACATTTCTGCCGTGGAATTTTGGCGGCAGTTTTGTGGTAATGTCTAGCTCAGAGGTTGTAATTAGTAGTTGATTGGTGGTCTGAGGCTTCTGTGAGTGGTGGAAGAATGGAGAAGGGGGTTTGGAAGATAATAATATATGTTATCAATTCTTTAACATCACATACGTAGCCAGAAAAATAATTAAAAAAGCAGTTGCATAAAGCCTGGCGAGGGTATAGAGGGGCGAGGGCCTGCCTGGCCATCGTTAATGCTCCCAGCAGCTGACACGCCGCACCAAGCTGCGTGTGTTATTTCAATCTGCATCTTGGCGGGGAATTTGTGACCGCCTTGAACACGCGCGGGTCCGCCCTGACGCCGGCCTCTGTCCCCCCCTGTTCTTATCACAAAATGTATATATGCTGATTAGCATTGTAAATGTGTGGCCACGTCTGTGGTAGAAAATAATAAAAAAAATCACTTTTGGCATATTAACTTGTTTTTAATACTGGTAGGCCTAGGCTTAATTATGAAAATATTTAGCAATATTATTATTAGTTACTCGTATTTTTAGCAGATATATTGTTTACATATAGGCATAATTTGGTCTTTGTATTTCGATTCTTAGAATTTCCAACTTTAGCAAACCTTGGTTAATATGGTTAGGTCCTTGTAGGAATTAGGCATTAGTTGTACAGCATTAATGAGGCATCGTTCTCTCATGATTCTATTTAGGATTTAAAGATGCGCGTGTATGTTAATTTTCAACGAATATGAATATTGTTATGAATATCGGGAGATGTTGTGTATACTCACCTAATTGTGAATGCAAAGGTTGAGCTCTGGCTCTTTGGGCCCGCCTCTGAACTGGCAATCAACTGGTGTACAGATTCCTGAACCTATTGGGCTCTATCATGTCTACATTTCAAACGGTGTATGGAGTCAGCCTCCACCACATCGCTACCTAATACATTTCATTTGTTAACTGCTCTGACACTAAAAAAAATCTTTCTAAAGTCTCTGTGGCTCATCTGAGTACTATATTTCCACCTGTATCCCCTTGTTTGTGTACCACCTGTGTTTAAACTGTCTACTCTATAAATTCGTCTGAGAATCTTGTATGTGGTGATTATGTCTCCCCTAACTATTCTTTCTTCTACTGACGTAGGTAAGAGAGAGAGAGAGAGTGGGGGAGAAGAGTGGGGGGAGGAGTGGTACCTGTAGATATTGCAGCAGTGTCGAGTCGGGTTTGAGGATGTGGGCAGTATTGATGTGGGAGTGGGCATGACTCGGGCAGCGGGCAGGGCCACTGACCTGTGTGGCCCCCTCCCCCCCCCACCTTACTCTCTCTTCCTAACCCATCCTCCCACCTTCTTACACCTTCCTCCTCCTCCTTCCCTTCCCCCTTCTTCCATGACTCCCTTCCCTCCATCATCCTCGTCTCTCCATAACATACAATTCACTCATCCTCTGTACACCAGTTGATTGACAGAGGCGGGCCCAAAGAGCCAGAGCTCAACCCCCGCAAGTACAACCAATGTGATCCATATAACTAACGTTTGTTTCGTGTTGCAGGACCCGCCCAACAACATGGATCTGGAGCTCTTTGAGGCTCTTCTGGCCAACATGCAACAAAATCTTCCCCAAGGCGCCTACGATGATGTCGATGACGACGACGATGACGACTACGAGGACGACGACGACGACGATGACGACGACGACTACGACTACCCTGGAGGTCACGAACACAACATCCACACAATGGCTAACCCCTTCGGTGGAGGCGGAGGCGACGGAGGGGGCGGCATGGGCGGGGGAGACATGGGCGGCGTGTCCCTACCCACGATGCAGACCATGAGCATCTTGCAGGGTCTCCTTAATATGAATCCGGGTGCCATTCCTGGCGGCGTCCCAGACATGGGAGGTGCCATGAACCCCGGTATGGCAGGCATGGGCTCCCCCATGGACGGCGGGGCGGGGAGTTTCCTCTCAAACATGCCATCATTCATGCCCGCCATGAACCAAGACATGGCCGGTACCCTTGCTGGGGCCTTCGCAGGTGGCATGAGCGCCCTCATGGACGGCTTCGCGGGAGGCAATGGAGGGAATGGAGCTACAATTCAGGAATACGATGACGATGAGCTCCTGTCTGATGAGGACGATGAAGACGACGAGGACGATGACGACGATATGGACGATAGGGTCGGCATGGGCACCGTGGCTGCAGCCGCTGCAGGTGTAGCTGCTGTTGGTGCTGTTGGCGGTCTTATGGCCTCTGGAATGCTAGGATCCTCACACCCGTCAGCTTCCCATGGGGTGCACGGTCCTCTCCCTGTCCACATGCAGCATCCCGACCACAATCCTATGGGTGGGCATCCTGGAAATGCGTTACTAGCAGTGCATAATTCTCACCAGGGCCATCCGCCCCCGGTAGGCTTCACACACAGTTATAACCCGGCAGATATCATGAGTCCGCCCACTTCCCACCCACAGATCCCACACAGCATAGCATCTTCACCATCCATGCACCACACCAACATGGCGCCTAGCATCAGCGGAGGATCTGTGAGAAGTGTGGACCCTCTAGCGGGAGTCTCCATGGGTTTGGCAGGCATGGCAGCAGGGGCAGGCATCCTGGCGCCCGTTGTCGGTAGTCTGCTGGCTAGTGGTGGGAAGTCCTTGTCTCAACTGGACAATTCTGATACTTCCAGTGTGACGTTTGTTGGTGATGACTCCTTGGACAGTTCCACCAAAACACTTCCCGCTGACCGTTCAGCAGACCATAATGCTGTGGCTGCAACGGCAGCAGCTCTGGAAAAAATGCACATTACGCCACCCCAGAAGAATGATGCGAAGCCTGCTGTTAAATCTGACCTTGCAACCGGACCCCAAAAAGAGGCTTCAAAGGCCAAAAAAGAAGAAAATGACAGTGAAGCTGAAGAGGAGGAGGATGATGATGAAACTGAACCAAATGAAGATGTACCCAGGCCAACAAGAGTAGACACGCCATTAAATAAATTAGATGATGATAAGTCCAGTGTAGGTGCCGACTCCATCCCGGGATCAGAATCCGGTGATGGCAAGTCTGACACAGAAAGTGTCAGGAAGAAGACCCCGTCCCCTGTCCTTGTTGGAAAGTTAGGACGACTCAGTCCCACTGGCAGTGAATCCACTCCGGTACTAGAGTCTGCGAGTTGTGCTTCTATCACTGACTTGGCAAGTGCGACGGAGTCGATGCGAGATTCCGATACTGACAACCATTCAGATGCTCACAACGTTACGGCCAATCTTTCAGACCTGGACAATGACCTCCACGAGGCCCAACCCAAAGTTCGCGCCCCTCCACAGTATGCCGTCGGCGCCCTTCCCATCGTTATAGAGAAGCCAACGTTTGGCTGGCAATCTATGGTGGGTTTGGACACGGCCAAGGATGCATTAAAGAATTTGTTTATGAGTGAAGCATTCCCAGAAGTGTATGAGGGGACTCAAGGTACTTGCAAAGGTGTGCTGCTGTTTGGGCCCTCAGGGTCTGGGAAGACTTGTCTTGCACGAGCGCTTGCCAAAGAAGCCAACGATGCTATTTTGATTGGTATATCAACGGCCTACCTAGCAACGCAGGCCCCCCTCGAAGCCCCCAAAATTGTGCGGTATCTGTTTGACCACGCCCGCATGAACAGCCCTGCAGTCATATTGTTTGATGAAGTGGACGCCCTCTGCTATGATAGGTCCAGCGAGACGGCACTAAGAGCAAAGGCAGAATTACTGTCTCAAATCAGAGGTAAGGAACTCATTATGTAAACAATTTGAAACAATACTGTCTTAAGGTTTTGTATGGCACAGGATGGGTATGGGGGTGCATTAATGAATAAAGAAATAGAAATAATGTTTCGTATATTTTCAAAATGAATATCAAGTTGATATTTTCACTAAGAACTATTTTGTGAATAAATTATGATGGCAGAAATCATTAACACCCATTTTCTACTCTTTTTTTTAATTTACCAGGTATGACTACCCTAAACCCTCAGTACCCGCCTCGCATCGACCCCACTGCCTTCAATGACGGCATCATGGTCCTGGGCACCACTAACCAACCCTGGCTCTTGGAGGATGACCTCAGGAGAATCTTCACTTACAACATTCACGTCAAGCTCCCGAGTGAGAAGGCGCGAGAGGAGCTCTACAGAATGTTCCTGCAAGCGTTGCCACATAATATTAATGATGATCAGTTCAAGTGCCTAGTAGCGAAGAGCGAAGGGTGAGTGCTATTTCTGTCCCATTGTTGACGTGTTGTAGTGGGCACTTGCATCCGTTAGCATTAATAAATGTTAATTTAAAATGCACTACTAACGTTAATTGTTTCATTAATGTGTTGAATATTGAATGATACCTGAATCATTGGCCATCATATGTGGAGTATACCTGTTGAAGGTTCTGGGAGTTGTTCTACTCCCCCAAGCCCGGCCTGAGGCCAGGCTCGACTTTTGCGATAACTTTGTCTATCGTTTTAACATTTTTAACACTTCCTGCACACTTAACTAGACACGCTTTTCCCTCACCTTGCAGGTACTCTGCTGCTGACGTCAATACTGTGATCAGACAAGTGGCTCACATGCCTCCCAGTGATCCAAATAAATACATACAGAATGCCCCTAGGGTTATTACCTTCGTAAGTTGAATCACTATCTTTTGCCTTTTGATCCCACTGCTTCTGTTGGTTAATATGAAATGTTGCCAGTTCTGTTCCATCTTTAGGTGCAAAGATGGAACAGAAGATTCCATCCAAAGATTTGCAAAATAGTTCATTGCTAATCCATTTGTTTAAAACTGGATAGGTTATTTTTTCCCTCGTTCATCAAATACCAATTGCAGTAAAGGTTTGGTGCAACTTTATTAACTATTTGATGTTGTCAAGTTATGTTTCTGAGGAGTTTGTTGGTTTTGACTGTATGCCTCTTGATTACAGGATGACCTCGCCACTGTGATGACTGACTACAGATGTAGATTTACAGCGGAGGTGTCCGTCAAGTACCAGACTTACATCAAGGCCGCTACCCACAGATCTGGTAAGTGGTGGTGGTGGTGTCTCCGTTGTAGAATTATGCTAGGATCCTTCTCGGTTCCGTGTAGATTCTTTGCATTATTATAGAATCCTTGTAAATGACTGTAGAATTGCCCTAAAATCTGCCTCGGTACACGGTAGTTATTATAAAAACTGACAGGTTAATTTCAAAAATACTTTTCGCTTTGGTACTATGTTAATCCCTTCATTTATGTAGCATACTTGGTAAATGTTCCTGTTGGGTATTATAACGGGTTATAAAGTATTATTTCACACGGGTCCTGATATCTTGTGAACCCTTGTGTTGCGAGTGTGTTTGGTCAGTGTGTTCCTTCATCTTGCTCATATTATTTCCACGAGTATACAACTATGAATCCATATTCTGACTGAGAGGTTAACTTTGTCTCCCTACAGAAGAGCGACGAGAAGACACCAAGAGTGAGGAGAAGGGTAAACCCAAGGGCGTGAGGAAGTTCGGTCAACGGATCGCCAAGTCCATTGCCGCCGCTCTCGTTGCTGTGATAGATTAAACTGTGTCTAGATTATAGTGAAAAGACAGACCCTGGCGGTGGGTACAGTCCAAAGCTGCACTCTAGAGTTGTGTCAGCGCGGACCATGGTTACAGCAAGTCGCTGGGGAAGTTGTAATTAGCTTTGTACAGTCTGTCTGTGATGAACCATTTTTTTTTTTTGACCTGCATTGGCCATGATCCGGGCTGAGTATGATAGTGACCTGAAGTGTACTCATCAGATGAAATGATGAGGCACTTCTGATGTTGGTGTGTTTAGTGTGAAGTGCTGCCGCTGTGCCTCGGCCAGGGTTGGAAGAACTTAGTCACTCAAAGTCATTTCCTGATCCCCACCATCTACAAGCAAACTCCCGCCCTCCAGTCCCTGAGCCCCTTCCGTTGATGTCCTTCCCGCCCGCCACGCACCCACAATTCTGCGGGCAAGCTGCCTAACAAAAAAAGCCCCACAGCCCAGGATTCCCGAATGCCTAGCAGCCTATGGATTTTAAAAGTGTTGAAAATTGCCAAAGCGGTATGGCCCGTTCAGTTCTACCTAATGGTGTTAATGGTGACTTTTAATTCCTAACTGCCCCATGTGCTTTTGACTGAAAGACGTGATGTAAAGTTGCGACAGGCGTCTACTCGCTTGGTGATCTGCTGACGAGTCTGCTAAAGTGCTGTGCTGTGCTGTGCTGTGCTAGGGAATGGTCCATTAGTGCTAAAAGTTAAGGTGTACAAAGGTTACTACCAAGGCTGCTAGGTTTAGCATACCACTGGGGATCTACTACTACTACTACTATTATATAGCATCATAAAAAGCGTGTGAAATATTTTTTTTTTAAGATGCCTGGTCTATGTTGTACAAATCTTCTTCAATAGATAATCATTCATTTCGCCTAAGTCACGTGATCTCAAAAAGTGCGCAAGCAGTAACTCCCCATTTTATAACGTAGGTAAAATGTGTTTTTAGTGATTTTAAAGTGATAAACATACAATAAGTGTCTTACTATTATTATTATTATAATTATTATTATTATTATTATTATTGTTATTACAGTTGACATGGAAACTAAAAATAAAAAAAAAGACAGAAAATTATTACCAGTCAGAATCATAGATGGAGTGACCAAAGGTGAAAACCCCCCCAAAAAAAAACACAAACAAAAGACTTGAGGTATTTCGGCAAGTCTTCCACTGATGGGCGTGCTCCTTGTGATATCTTGAGTAGACACACACACTGTTTGAGGAAGCCGTAGTGAGAAGCTGTGGGTCGGGGTACATCACTGTGGCAGTGTTCATACCCGCTGCTCTTTTGTGCTTGGGGGTGAATATTGCAATGGGGTTATAACATAGTTGCTGTTGTTGTTCAGGCAGGTATTATTTTTCCCCCCCTTTAAAAAATGTAATTTTTTTTTTTGTAAATTGATTTTTTTTTTAAATATTGTATATTAGTCTGTTATTCTGTTACCCTTCCTCCCCCCCCCCTTCCCCCTCTCCCCTCAGTCCGTCCGCTGGAGAATTGGCATTATGTGTATATTACATTTTTTTTTTTTTTAAAGAGATCTCACTTGAATCCCAAGACAAAGGAGCCGCGTATAGTTAAAGACGAGTCTTCAAGTGTGTGTAAGTGCTGCTTACACTTATGTCACCACTGTTGCAGCCGTGTGTGAGTGGTCATGGTGGACAGTGAGCCACTTTTTATGTAATTTACAATGTTATTCTTTAATTAAAAGCAAAATATAGTGCCTGCAGTACCTACCCCCATGAGCACTCTCCTCCGGCACCAACAGTCCCCCTTCCCTCCCTCCCTCTTAGTTGTATAGTTTGTGTAATGTTGGCATGTGACTGCAGTGATGGTGACTGCAGTGATGCAGTGATGGTGGTGCAGGCTGGTGCTTACCCTCGGCTGGGGGTGGTGGAATGCAGCTTCTTGCTTTAATTTGTTTGTTGGTTCTATTTGATGTTATGAATATTTTTTGGTGGGTTACGGTAGATATCTTTTAATTTTTTTTTCTCTTGCTGTTTTGGCCTGATTTTAAGGGATCCTTTGGACTTTTGGATAGACAAGTCCCTGTGGAATTCCTTCACTTTTGGCCATTGGGTGAGCACCTAACCTGCTTATACACTAAATTCAGCTGCCCCTGTTTCGCTTAATTAGAAATATGGATGGCGAGCATTCTCCCCCCCCCCTCCTCCTCCTTCCCCCTTGTTCCTTCCGTAGCTCTGGCCGGTCCCTCACTAGTCACGTCTTCCTCATAGTTTCAAAATCCATTTAATTCGCCTAATTTATTGAGTTTTTTTGACGGTTTTTAAATCATATCGGATATTATTTTTAAGATTTTGATACTGCTGTACGCTGGTTGAGGACGTGGCAGCGGGGCTCCCCCAAGCTACAGGTGATGTTAAGAGGGTGGAGTTGTGTCTTGGAGCCTTGCGCTAGCCTAAAGAGTATCGGCACCTTTATACTTCCAAGTGCACCGCCGTTTATAAGTGTGAAAAGTTTAATTTTAATTGAAATATTGCATTTATAGAGCCACTGTTTTAGCCTTTAGCATTTGTTCGTGCTTAGCTGTTAAGGATGGTAAAAAGAGACTGTGTAACAGTCTTTGTTGTGTGTGTGAAGTGAAACTTTATATAGTGTCGCCACAGATCTTTCTGGGGCGGGTGGGTGGCACTTCTCCCCCCGGCCACCCACTAACCTCCCCCGTAGTTGCTAATGACTACCCTCCACTCGCCCACACAATCCCAGAGTGTTGTTATAGTGTGGGGGAGCATATATCCTCCCTTTTGCTGTTACTGTGGGGGAGGGGGGGAGGCTTGTCTCTTGCGCACATGTTACGGCGGGCTTGTCAAGTGATTCTTGTGGTCATGATGTGATTGCGGTGTACTGTAGAAAGAGTATATTTGATCAGAGATGGCAATAGATTTTTTTTGTTTGTTTGTTATAAACATGACAACGCACAAAC